CCAGGATCAACACGCCCCGCCCCGAGGGTGCATTTTTGGCAGTGGGTGTACCTACATTACCACGTTGTTACCACCCACGGTCCATAGACTTTGAACCTCTTGTTTTCATCTCTTATTCACCGAATCCAGTGCCTGGTGGACATGTAGGAAGCCAGAGTGGGTTTCGAGAAGAGCGCGTGTCCTGATCATACACGACCACTGCAGGTGCGGCATGGAGAACCAGCAGACTGTTCGGTTGAAACGTCTGCTCAGTGGTGTGCTCCTGTCATTTGCCTTCACGTCCCCACACCCCCAGTTCTTCACACACTTCAGATGGGGAATTCCCTCCAAGCTCACGTAGATTCAGCAGGCTGCCTACACTTCCTGCTCCCCTAAACCTGCCTGTCCCACATAACCAGACATCTGCAGCACCGTTCTGGATACTGTCTGTCGTTGTGCATTGGTTCAAGATCGCCATTTCCATGTTCCACAGAATAGGTGTAGCCAGATGGCTAGATTCTGTATCTGGTAGTGCGTGATTCAGTGCTTGTGTCCTCGTGTTATTAAACTTTGTACTTTTTATTGTCTTTATGCCTTTTCCCCCCCAGTCTACCCTGTTTTCCAGTTTCCTAATGGGTAGAGAACCCCCAAAATGGCATTTATTGCTGTCCAAACTGAAGCAGAGGAGCTACAGAGAGATTCCTCTTGAGCCAATTTATGTCCCATTTTTTACTTTTTAACTTCAGCATAGACACTAGAAATCTGAAATCCCCTACATGGCTTGTGTTGTATTTTGGGCGGTGGTACTGCTGGGAGTGGTCCACAGACCAGCTGCAGGGCACCAACTGCCAGCTTGTTAGAGACACAGACTCTCAGACCCCCTGTATCGGAGTTGGCATTCTAACAAGATCCCCGGCTGGCACGTGTGCACATTCAAGTCAAAAGCTCTGCTCTAGAGTGTTTTCTGTAAAATAGAGAAATTCATCAGCTATGTAGTGAGGTCTGCATTGCACAATCGTAAAAATGTGCAGGGCAGGAAGAACAGACCATTTCAGTCACCCAGTTAGCAAAAGGAAGAAACTGTTTCCTGATGACAGATGCCCTCTGTGAGTGGGAGTGAGCTTGGGCTTATGCTGTAACTGTGTTTCTTAATCGTGACTGCTTTTTCCTCACGTCCAGGTCTCTTCAGAGCTGCTGTACCCAGTGGTGCCTCAACGGGTATCTACGAGGCCCTCGAGCTCCGGGACAATGATAAGACTCGCTATATGGGGAAGGGTAAGACTTGGAACCTGCCGCTCGCCTCTGGAGCGAGGCTGCAGCCCGGCCTCCTTGCCCCCAGCCCCGCTCCTGGCCTTCCCCAGACCCCTCCTCCTCTCTGGGTGGGTCTCGTACCGGAGGGTGGGAAACCTGCCTAAACACATACTGTTGTTGATGGTGAGCAGCACACCAGCACACGGGAGAGCCGAGAGCTGGCTTATTGATTCCAGGGTTCCTAAGCCTGTAAATTGAGGGTTAGAGTTTTAATGCTTGTTTCTATTGCAGTTTGGCTCCCCTCTGTGAAATATTCCTTCGCAGTTAGGCCAGGGGACCCAAGGATCAGAACAGGACCTGATAACTAATACTAGAGAAAGGTCTCCTTGTTCTCCCAGGAGGGCCCTGTGGGCCTTCCAGACCATCAGCCCTCTTCCAGGGCAAGAAAGTATCCAAGGAAGGTCTAGCTGATGGCCTGCCATTAATGGTGACCTACAGATGAGCCATTGTAGTTGACTGACTCACAGAAGCGCTGCTCTGTGGCAGAGCCAGCCTCTGATCGGCTGTGTTGGGCAGCTTTCTTTTTTTCTTCCTTTTTGTCTTTTTTACTGACCGGTAACGGGATCGCAACCCTCGGTGTCGCGCCCGCACCACACTCAGCCAGTGAGCCGGAACCAGTCTCCACATGGGATCCAAACCCTAGGTGGGAGCCCCGCCGCACTCCCAAGCGGCACACTCTCCAGTGAGCCACCGGGCCGGCCCATGTGTTGGGCAGCTTTCTTTTTTTCTTCCTTTTTGTCTTTTTTACTGACCGGTAACGGGATCGCAACCCTCGGTGTCGCGCCCGCACCACACTCAGCCAGTGAGCCGGAACCAGTCTCCACATGGGATCCAAACCCTAGGTGGGAGCACCGCCGCACTCCCAAGCGGCACACTCTCCAGTGAGCCACCGGGCCGGCCCATGTGTTGGGCAGCTTTCACCTTTCTAGAGACAGCCTGTGCAGCCGGATTCCAGAAAAGCAAAGCACATGGGGTTACACTGTCATTATCAGCAGGGCAATGACCCCAGGGGGAGGGAGAGGCAGAAAATCTTACAACATTACCATGGTTTGTGGCCCTCCAAAGGGCCACTAGACATAAACAGATGTACAGCATATCGGAGGTATTTAAACTTCAAGGGGTGAGGGGGTGGGCGGTTAGGGGGAAAGTGTAAAGGCAGCAGGGGGGAGGAGGTGATAATGAAATAAGCTTGAGAAACCCTGGGCCAGAGTCACAGTGATGGTGCTATAGGAAGGCTGCATATTTAGTCCCATTTCACATGCTACAAAGAGCTCTCTCCACACATAAGCACATTACCGTTGTTTAATGGCCTGTGTGGGGACTTGCCTGGGTTAGGACAGTGCTGTGTCTTGGCGGTAATAAGTGCTCAGTCGGTCAGCAGTTCTGGAAGAATGAACGCATGGTGCCCAAAATGCTCTCCTGTGCCTTCCTGTTTCCTCACGCTCTCTCCCTCCGGGTCCTTCGTCACCTGTTCTCTCCTGAGTCTCTCATGCCTCCTTCTCTGTCCATCTCTACTGGGCAGGCATCTCCAGGCCCGTTAAGTATATTAATGAGTTCCTGGCACCAGCCTTGTGCACTCAGGTAACGCACCGGACGCCCTTCGGTTTCTGCAGCTGGTGTTTCCAGTGCATGGTCTTGCAAACTAACCTCCGTTGGCAGATAATTCTGAGCTGGTTGCTCTTGTGTGGCTGTAACCCTCTGGGGTCCTGGGTAAGAGCACTCAGACTGGGCCAGAAAGTCCTCCCATTCTATGGGGAAGAGGGGGCTGGGGATTTTAAAGAGGCCCCATGGAAGGTCCTTTGGTGGCTTCTGCATCAGCAGCATCAGCAGTTCTCTCTAGCAGTGCTGCTCAAGCCTGTTTTTTTTTGTTGTTTTTTTTTTTCTGTTAATGTCAGTAATTTGATTTGATTGTTCCTTCTAGGTGTCTCAAAGGCTGTTGAGCACATCAATAAAACTATTGCACCTGCCCTGGTTAGCAAGGTAGGACCTGCCTCCTGATAACTAATGTGTATTAATGCCACCAGAATGTCTCCCAGGCCCAGGGGCTTTCCTGTTCACAGAAGAGCTTATTCTGAGAGCTGCAGAAGCCACTTGGATTCCCTGTCATGCATGAGAACAATTCATGCACGACACACTTCTAACCTGTCCTCTGCCTGTGTGTCCACTTCTAATAGCACATGGAATTGGATCAGAGGAATGGGAGCCTGTCTTAGAGCCCCGATTATTTTTCCCTGCAACTATCTTGACCTTTGGGAAATTAAGATTTTAAGAGCAGTTCTCTCGGGGGTATTGGAGGTAGTGTCCACAGTGACTCATTTTTCACAACCTTTGGAATTATTTATTGTATTTCTACTGACTTTGTTTTTAACAATGGAATTCTTGTTAAATAAAATTCCTCTTGAAACCTCAGTGTATCAGACAGAGAAGAGTAGAGCTGATGTAGGTAAAATGGGGTTAGGGAACCCAACAACCCAACCTACTCAGCAATTTTTTGTCACATTTATCCTCCCTATGGCCCTTGCCTTCATAATTCCTGTGGTGCTTCCCAGATGGGAGCAGTTTGAAAATCCCTGTGTAGAGAAGCCCTCTGAGCCTGTCCAAAGCCAGCCGCAGTCTCCTTACCCATCCCACTTGCGTCTGGCCCCTCCCCTCCTTGAATTCATCCTGTGCACTGATGGAAAACGAGGTGCTCCTGTGTTGGCTTGCTTATTTGGCCTGGCCTTTGTGGCCCTCTTAATTGGTCCCTTCCCGAATGGTCCCCAGACAAAATTTCTTGGTACTGCCTTACTTGCACATGCCCTCTATCCAGTCTCCCAGGCACTCCACACATACCTTGTTCTCTGTCCCTTCGTACCCCTGCGTGGCATGATTAACGCAGTGAGCAGAGCTTCCCTTGATGATTTGTCCCCACGGGAGAAACACATTTGAACTTAATTGATGGTGAGGATTGGCCTCTAAAGCTGTCTGCTTGGGTAACTGCATGCTTTTTCCAGTGTCAAACAGCAAAAGATGCCAAGTCTTTAACATGGCATGCCGAGGCTATGGATGATTTTCTTTTCATGTTTTAGTTTGTATATAAATAACATGTATAAAATAATGCACTGATTCGATTAGGAAGTTTTTAAAGTAATGTCGATTTTTATTAAAAAATTACTTTGAGCCAGTTTTCAAGACACCAGTTTTATTACTTTATAGTCTCACCAAAAATATACATTTTGATCAGCCATTACACATTTGCTAAGTGATTTTGGACTACCTGCAAAACACCCCTTTCATCAGAAGATGAAGATTTGCCCTCAGTGGGGCTGGCCAAGAGGGACAGCGGCAGAGCCTTCCTTTGAAGGGCCGGCACGTCTGAGTGAGCGGTGGCCTTTGTGATTTGCCTGTTGCCCACACACGCCATACCCGTTTGTAGTAAAAGCTGATGCAGCATGTACCAGACAGTTCTGTCTTGTGTACCATGTCATTTAGGACTCCCTGGGTAGACTATAATGTTTGTGACCCAAGGATCATGTTTTATAGTCTCTGTTTCTTACATTGTTGGCTGAAATAAATGACTGATACCATTAAAGCAAGGAAAAGGCAGTTTTGTGTCTCTCCTTCATTTTCTCCTGCTCCCCCCCTCCACCCTCACTCCTGATTTTTTTGCCTAAGACACAAACATCGAGCACAGAATTGATTTTGACTTTGCACAGTTCAGAAGTTTTGTTGCTTCCGTGGCAGGCGAGTGGAGGTTTTGCAGGAAGAGTGTGCCCAGCCCTCCCCGCCCTCACCCTGCTCTCTCCCTTGTAGAAACTGAATGTTGTGGAGCAGGAGAAGATTGACAAGCTGATGATCGAGATGGATGGAACAGAAAATAAATGTGAGTGAACTGAGGTAGAGTGTTTGCCAGGGAAGACTGGGGGGTCTACTGGAGATTTTTTTAAAAACTTCTGGGAAGAGATGGAATAATCCCTAAGGATGAACTAAATGACAGTCTGTGGTCTATTCCAGTTTCTTTGCCTCAAGAAATGACATTTTTAAATATTAGGAGCATAACCAGGTGACAGCAGAATGTTTAAATGGTTACCCAGAAGAGGTTTGCCCTTTTTAATAAATCAGGCAATTTATGAAATTTACCAGTTTGTCATCCAAAGGGGCTTTGTCTTACGGGGAGGCAGGTGGGCGTGCACGGGATGCCGTCTGCATTTCTAGTCTGAATGCCTGAAGCGAGACAACGCAGTCCAGGTGCGGTGCTGTACAGTGGCACTAACAGGCAGGAGACCAGCAGGAGGCAGGTTGGTGAGTAAGAAATACTTTCATTTAACCATTTATTCTCTTCCAGCTAAGTTTGGTGCAAACGCCATTCTGGGGGTGTCCCTTGCTGTCTGCAAGGCTGGCGCTGTAGAGAAGGGGGTGCCCCTGTACCGCCACATTGCCGACTTGGCTGGCAACTCTGAAGTCATCCTGCCAGTCCCGGTGAGTGGCTTATTGGAACTTCTAAGCCAGGAGTGGGGGTGTCACCTTTCTCGCAGGGATCTGAGACCTCCTATACATTGATCTCAGACACGTGACTATCTCAGCCCAGTGGGAAAGAGCAGGTTCTGGAGGTCTTGGCCTTAAACAGCTCTTCTGCCCCTTGCTGAGCATGATTGAGCAACTGACTCCACTTGCCTGCGCCCTAGGACCTTTATTTGTGATTGGGGGGTGGGGGGTGTTGGTGACAGCAGTACTCTCCTTGTTAGGGTGTTAGTGTTAGCTGACATAGTAGCGAGTGCTTCTCCTGGTGATAAATATTACAGCTATCCAAAGAGACCTGGCAGGCGTCCCATAGCCACCCCTGGCCCCGCTCGTGCTCCTCAAGGACCCAGTCGGGTGATCGGACACGGGGGCTTGCTGACTCTCCAGGCCCGGTGTCATGCTGGTCCACTCTGCCTCTCCCCAGGCTTTCAATGTGATCAACGGCGGTTCTCATGCGGGCAACAAGCTGGCCATGCAGGAGTTCATGATTCTCCCCGTCGGTGCAGCGAGTTTCAAGGAAGCCATGCGCATTGGAGCGGAGGTGTACCACAACCTGAAGAACGTCATCAAGGAGAAGTATGGGAAAGATGCCACCAACGTGGGGGACGAAGGCGGGTTTGCTCCTAACATCCTGGAGAATAAAGAAGGTAAAGGTGCCGCGGGGATCCCTGAGCTGTGCAGCGCAGTTCCGTGTCCTTGGGTCTTTCACACCTGCCACTTTGGGAACGATGGTCGTTCCGCCTTTTGTTCTTCGAGGATCAAGACTCTGTACACAGGGTTTTGGGGACTGGGAGCTTAATTTTAAAGAATAACATTGTCTTCATTAATTTGACTTCTGAATTACCTGATGATTTGTTTAAGCCAGGCTGACTGGGGTAGAGAAAGGCGGTTTATTCCTTGCTGTTCCTGCTCACCTTTCAGTGGCAAAGGTTTGAAATCTCTTTGTGCGAGAAGATGCCAGTTATTCAGGAAGATGATTAATAGTTATTTTATTTATTTTTATTTTGGGAGGAGCAGCTGACCAGTACGGGGATCTGAACCTGTGACCTTGGTGATATAAGGCTGTGCTCTAACCAACTGAACTAATGGGCCAGCCCAATTAATTGCTATTTTAATAAAGTCAATCACGGTAATTCTTTGTGGAAATACTTCAAAAACAGTCTCTGTTTTGATTTTGCTTTGAATCCTTAAGAAAGTCTTAGGACAGGTCTTATTCACTGCTGAGTTCTTTGTTTTAGAGGATAAACAGTGCTCAAGCATATATCCATTGCCTTCAAGGACAGCTGGTGAAAGAAAATATTCATCCTGATCTTTGGTTTAGCCATATAAGATTGATGATATTCAGCCATTTTTGACCTATATAAATGGCCCTTTCACCTGGTTTAACCTAGTAGTTTGGGCATCTTTCGTGCAGAGCGGGAGCCAAGTGTCTATTCGTTTGCTCAGTGCGGCGCTGCAGTGTAAGGCTCTCCTATAACTGGGCTGCCTCTTGGATCCCAGCCTCAGCTCTATTTAAAGCCTATTCCTGGGGACAGCTGATCTCAGCTGGTCACTGTAACTGCATCTTGGCCAGCACAGCTGTTCCTGGGCACTAAATGTGGGAGCATTTGTCAGTGAGAAAGGCTGTTTTTAGATTTAGTGCTTATTTATTTATTTATTTATTGGTGTCTGGCCAGTAGTCAGTGATCCAAACCCTTGACCTTGGTGTCAGAACACCGCACTCTAAGATTCAGTACTTAATTTCCCACTTGGTGATTCACTGAGGCCCTGACCAATGGTTTTTCACCCCAAAGCAGAGAAACATCATTGGCGTCATCAAAACTGATGTTAGGGCTAGAGCACCCTATGCTCTTTCTGTTATAGTCCCCTTTTGGCAGCTGTCAAAGGGGAATTTTACTTCTATTTGCCTATTAACTTGTTGCCACCAACTCTTTCCAGCCCTGGAGCTGCTGAAGAACGCAATCGGGAAAGCTGGCTACAGTGACAAGGTGGTAATTGGCATGGACGTGGCTGCCTCTGAGTTCTTCAGGTCTGGGAAGTATGACCTGGACTTCAAGTCTCCCGATGACGCTAGCAGGTACATCACACCCGACCAGCTGGCCGACCTGTACAAGTCCTTCATCAAGGACTACCCAGGTGAGTGCTCCTTGCTCCTTGGGGTGCTTTCTCCCTCCTCCAGCCGCCAAGCAGCTGTGCAGCAGAGCAGCTGCAGCATCTGGCTGGCTAACTGGTGCCGGCTGTGAGGATGAGGGTGCTCTGCCAGGGGCTGCACTCAGTGTACACACATGGGTCTTCACCAAGGCTCCTGGAGTAGCGAAGGAGCCTCAGTATCACACAACAGTGTGTGATAAGTTGTTCGCAAAGTCCCACTACCTTCTGTCGTAACAGCCTCATGGAGCAGGTGCAGTTTGCGCCCCATTATACAGGAAACCGAGCCTTGAGAATCATAACGGCCACTTGTTACTAAAACATGTCATGCTTCCTGTGAGCTGGGCTCTGTTCCAGATGCTGCATCATTTAATGCACATAGGATAGGGCCTGTTACTACGCTTTCCAGGAGAGGAAGCTGAGGTGTACAGAGTGGTTTAATAACATATGCAAGGGCACACAGCAAATGGTGGAGCAAGAATTTAGACAAGAAGTCTGACTTCTGAACTACTTGGTCAAGGCTGAGCCAGACTCAAACTCAGGTCTTCACACTTCTGAGTCTGCTCCTCTTTTTTAAAAAAAATTTATTTATCAGGGCCGGCCCGGTGGCGCACTGCTACAGTGTGCCGCTTGGGAGCGTGGCGGCGCTCCCGCCGAGGGTTCGGATCCCACATACAGACCGGTTCCCGCTCACTGGCTGAGCGAGGTGCGGGGGCAACACCGAGGGTTGCGATCCCGTTGCCGGTCCCAGTCCGGTACGGGCGCGACACTGAGGGTTGCGATCTGTTGCCGGTCACGAAAAAAAGACAAATTTATTTATCATCATTTTTTTACATTCTGAGATGTTGTTGCCGAGCAATTGGTGGGGAGGGGGAGATGGTGCAGGAGGGAGGAGGGGGCGTGGTTGCGTGCCTCTATTCTTGTTCTCGGGGGCACTAAACTCAAACTACCCTGGGCAGGTAAGTGTCCCCTTTAAAAAAAAAAGCCACCCCCCGTGGGCCCGGGAGTGTGGGTAACCTATGCCCTGCTGCAGGAGCAGGTTGGTAGAGCAGAGTTTTCCAGGAGATGAGTGTGGGGCTGTTGCTGTCGTGCAGGTGAGGGAGGCATGAGACCGGGTGAGCAGCGAGTCGAGAGGGCAGTGAGCCTGTCAGTGCTGCGCTTCAGCAGACCGGGAGGCTCACACTGTCTCTCCTTCTGGCAGTGGTGTCTATCGAAGACCCCTTTGACCAGGATGACTGGGATGCTTGGAAGAAGTTCACGGCTAGTGCAGGAATCCAGGTGGTGGGGGATGATCTCACAGTGACCAACCCAAAGCGGATTGCCAAGGCTGTGGACCAAAAATCATGCAACTGCCTCCTGCTCAAAGTGAATCAGATCGGCTCCGTGACCGAGTCCCTTCAGGCGTAAGTGCCCTCCCGGGAGAGTGGCTTTCACACCATTAGAGATTGTGAATCAGCACAAGGGCTCCTTTCTTCTGGGGTTGGGAAGTCCTGTTGACTAGGACTAAGGACATCCTGGAATTGTAATGGCTTTATGTTTGAACTCCAGGTAGCCTTTAAAGTAAGTGATGACATCAAGGGGACTGAGCATGGAACAGTGGTGGCCTGGTCCTAATTCCTTCGTGGCCCCAGAAATGTGCTTTAATTTCACATATGGAGAGGCAGTGAAGGGGTGTGTCAGAGAAGACTAGTCTGTCTCCTCTCAAGGAGGCCAGGCCCGGTGTTGCAAGCACGACGGGCTGAGCAGGCTGTCACAGGAGCAGCTCAGGGCAGGGCGAGGGTTGGCCTCTGCTTATCTTCCTGAGCTCTGTGCTGATGGCCCCTCCGCTGGGCTGCCAGCAGTGAGGCGGGGTGGGGCAGGGTTCGTGGTGCCAGGAAATGGGGTCGGGCCATCTGAGTTGTTTTCTGGCTTCCAGGTGCAAGCTGGCCCAGTCCAATGGCTGGGGTGTTATGGTGTCTCATCGTTCCGGGGAGACTGAAGATACCTTCATTGCCGACCTGGTGGTGGGGCTCTGCACTGGCCAGGTAAAGAGCTGCTTAGAATGAAACGTTCTCTAAAGGTTCTCTATATTTCTTCTCTCTGACTTCAACTTCCTGGGAAGACCCAAAATGCGGTGTGGGGGGGCTACGTACACTGCTGCTTCAGCTTGATAAAACTCATAGAAGCAAAGGCCGTGTTCATCCTTTGTGCTTGTGTCCCCCATGTAACGCCATGGCTCATGAGCCTGAACAGAATGGGGTCATGAATGCCCTGCCTGGGATGCTTTCCCTCTTTCCTAGGGTCAAAGACCCTCCTTTAGAAATTCTCTCTCTGCCAGGGCACCCTCTCCTTGCCCCAAGATGCCCATGAGACTCAGTGTCCACTACAAGCAAATGTGACCTTTCTTTTTCTCCTTCAGATTAAGACTGGTGCACCTTGCCGATCTGAGCGCTTGGCCAAGTACAACCAGCTCCTCAGGTAAACAGAGTTCCTGATAACTACGGGGCCTGTGGTTCAACTGCTGGGGTCTGCGCTGAGTGTGGGCACTGTCCTGCACTGAGAGCTCTTGGCTCTGGGGTCTTGTGCAGATGGTGGTGTGCAGTGCAGGGAGCAGAGGCCTGAGCAGCATTAGGTTGGGGCAGAGTTGGGTCTAGACCCTGAGGAGCCTTGGCGACACTGTTGACGAGCAGGAGCCTGTTCCGTACAGTGCTGCCATCTTCTGGTGGGAGAGGGAATGGGATCCCCTTTGACAACTTAACCGTACACTTTTAGAGCTAGAAGACAGCTAATATTGGTGATTGTTTCAGCTAATTCACCCTTGTTTTGTGGATAAGGAAACCAGGGCTCAGAGAGATGGAGGAAATTGCCAAAGGGCAAACAGCTAGGTTTCCAGGTTCGGAGCTGTTGACGTTCTGGTCCCTTTCCTGTCTCAGTGTGTCCTTGGGAAGCTCCTGAACACAGGGAGATTTGCCCCTTCTTCTAGACTTGCAGGAAAAAGGAACATCCACATCCAATTCATAAGTTCTCCCATACTACCCCTTCTTTTAAACTTTATCCTGGATATTTTCTTTTCTTTACTTTTCTTTTTTAAAGATGACCAGTAAGGGGATCTTAACCCTTGACTTGGTGTTGTCAGCACCACGCTCACCCAAGTGAGCTAACCGGCCATCCCTATATGGATCCAGACCCATGGCTTTGGTGTTATTAGCACCACACTCCCCCAAGTGAGCCATGGGCAGGCCCATATCCTGGATATTTTCTTTTCTTTACTTTTCTTTTTTAAAGATGACCAGTAAGGGGATCTTAACCCTTGACTTGGTGTTGTCAGCACCACGCTCACCCAAGTGAGCTAACCGGCCATCCCTATATGGATCCAGACCCATGGCTTTGGTGTTATTAGCACCACACTCACCCAAGTGAGCCATGGGCAGGCCCATATCCTGGATATTTTCTAACATACATAAAAGAGTAGAGTGAACAGTAGAATGTTCTCCCTTTCCCAGCCACCCAGGTGCAGCAGTTCCCAATAATCCTCAGTTTTTTTGTCTCTTTACACCCACTCTTTATTTTTTACCAGAGATTTTTAAAGCACAGTCTAGACATCTTGTGATTTCATCTATAAATACTTCATATGTAAATGCTTTTCAGATAAAGATTTTAAAATATAACTACTCTGACCATCATATTGCCCAAGATTAATAGTAATTTCATAATATTAATAGCAAAACTATTCGCTCACCCGATTGTCTCAAAATGCCTTTTTTTAAAACTTCAGGATCCAAACAGTATACACATTTTGTTTTTTAATAAGTTCACCCTCTTTTTTTCCCCCCCGTGCTGTTTATTTTTTGTTCTTTCATTATTTAAAAAAAGCATTAGGATTTTTATATTCCAGGAAATAGTGATCTTGATGTTTATTTTGACCTCAGAAACATGGGGGCAGGGAGGGGAAGTGGGGAGTGTAGACAATACCTTGCAGGGTGAATTGGGAGGATGAGAAGAGCATATCGCTGGCATCTCAGAGGAGCACAAGTTTAGAGGGTTCTAGAAGAAGTTGGACAGACTGGAGAGTTCTGGGAACTCAACTTCCTGGGAGGAACAGGGCTGTGTCTGACCACATCTCTGGGGGTAAAAACTGAACTGCACAGAGATTTGATCTCTCCTTTTCTCTCCTCCTCCCTTTATTCTTGTGCTTCCCAAGGATTGAAGAGGAGCTGGGCAGCAAGGCTAAGTTTGCTGGCAGGAACTTCAGAAACCCCCTGGCCAAGTAAGCAGTGAGCCGGCAAGCCCGAGCCTCTAGTCGGCTGTTAGACCCTGCCCCTGATGTCAGCGAGGACAGCTCGAGGCCCCCGAGCAAGACTTGCTGGGGCCTCTGGTAGTTAGCTCCCCTCTCCCACCCCTGTGGCATTCTCACTGCTTCCCTAGCACTGCTGCAGAAGCCAAGCTTGACCGTCTGGAACCTGCTGGAAACCCAAGCTCTACAATCATGTGATTGGGCCCAAGTCATTGTTTATCTCATACTTGCTTTCCACCAAGTGTCTGGAGCCGTGTGTACCCTCCAGTGTAATCTCCAAGGTGGACACAGGCAAGATCCCCAGTGGTTTTGTGTGCAAAATAAAAAGACTCATTGGTCATGAGAATATTCTGTGCGTGTGTGTGTGTATACAAATCAGTCTGGGTCTGTACGTTGCTTCTGTGAGCCTGTCCTTCCTCTTTAGTGTTCATGGGGCACATGGTAGGGTGTAGGCCTGCAAGTGCTCAAGGTTTTGTGTCATAAGGAGAGGCGTGAGGAAAGGGGTCTGTGGATATTTGCATAAGTCCTTGGGAAGGGCAGTTGAGACAAAAGGTGAGAGAGGAGACATGGTGTCCCTCAGGAGAAATGGGGTCGGAACAGGGATCTAAGCTGGGAGGAGGCAGAGTGAGACTTCTCTAGTTCTGACATCTTATTTGGGAGATGCAGAGCTGTTTATAGATTATCTTAAGGATTGTAGCTTCTAGGTCACATACCGTATAGTTGTCCAAACCAGAGGGACTCCCGGTGAGATCCTGCGCAAACCTGGAATGTGGCTTCTTTATTCCTGGGGAAAGCAGGTAAAAGAATGATTAAAAGGTATCTCTCGGGCCGGCCGGGTGGTGCACTCGGTTGAGTGCGGCACTTGGGAGCGCGGCGGCGCTCCTGCCAAGGGTTCGGATCCCATATAGAGACCGGTCCGCTCACTGGTTGAGCATGGTGCGGGCGCAACACCGAGGGTTGCGATCCCGTTACCAGTCACGAAAAAAGACAAAAAGGAAATAAATAAGTAAATAAATAAATAAAAGGTAGCTCTCAGTGGAGGGTAGTAGGGCTTCTAGAAGGTTTGAGAACACTTTAAATTAATTGAATTCCATTTCTCAGTTTCTCCAGCCTTACTCCAAGTGCTCAATAGCTACAGGTAGCTAATGCCCGCTGTATTGGGTAATGCAGATACAACACCATGTTGCAGAAAGCACTATTCTAGGGTAATGTTGGACATGGTGTGTGGGCAGTACATTTATGTAAAAGTGAGAGGTGAAATACTGTGATTGCTATCTGCCCCTTGAAGAGGTATAATATTTTATTAACATTTTATTTTTCTTTGCCTGTAATAGCATGATCAAAGTATCTTGAATTGTATGTTTCTATACACGGTCAGGCCACTGGAAGGCCCTCTGGTGGACATTCTTGTCCATTGCTTGTCTATATCAGGATTTATCCCAAGAAGCAGAACCAGGAGGAGATACGTATATTAAAAATTGGCTTCTGGGGCCGGCCCCGTGGCTCACTCAGGAGAGTGCAGCGCTGGTAGCGCCGAGGCCGCAGGTTCGGATCCTATATAGGGATGGCTGGTGCACTCACTGGCTGAGCATGGTGCAGACCATATCGTGCCAAGGGTTACGACCCCCTTACCAGTCAGGAAAAGAAAAAAAAATTGGCTTCTGGGGCCGGCCCCGTGGCTCACTGAGGAGAGTGCAGCGCTGGTAGCGCCGAGGCCGCAGGTTCGGATCCTATATAGGGATGGCTGGTGCACTCACTGGCTGAGCATGGTGCAGACCATATCGTGCCAAGGGTTACGACCCCCTTACCAGTCAGGAAAAGAAAAAAAAATTGGCTTCTGTGACTATGGGGCCTGGGTGAGCAAATTGGAATTCCACAGAGCAGCCAGCCAGAAGGGAAGATGCCGAGCAGCAGGATTCCAGGGGCACGGGTGAAGTTGTCATTTCATAGGTGGAATTTCTTCTTAGGGAAACCTCAGCCCTGCTTTTAAGACCTTCCAGCTTGACTCAGTTGGGCCTACCCAAGAGAATCCAGGATAATTCCTCATTTGAAGTCTGTTGAATAGTGTCTTTAATTACATCTGCAAAATAGTTTCACAGTACTAATACGAGATAGTGTTTGATTGAATAACTGGGGACTCTTGTCAAGTTGACGCATCACAAAACCATCACAGTCCACCTGGCACCCATCCACGTTTCTTTATACTTAATGTCTATAGAGCAGCAGTAACAAAGGCTCATTTGCCACCTAGCATGACGCACCTATCCCACTTACAACCGTGGATGCACCCTTTCCAGGTTTCAGTGATGGATATCTGTCTGAAAATTGATTCTGGAGAGAAGTAAATTGTTGAACTGGGCCTGACAGTCTTACTGGAGTGTTTTACGTATCGTTTATCCAACTTTAAGGCAGCAAGTTGGCATTAGTACTCATGTTTTTAAATGATTGAATGTCACCATTTCCTGACTGTCAGATAAAGGCATTTATCACTCTTGAGGTTAGAGGACAGATTCAGGTAGGTACCCTTTCAGATCTGCTCGACCCTGAAAGAAGGCTGCCCATCTGGGGCTCGTCTCATGGCATTTCTGTTACAGGCTGGACTGAGGGGCTTGCCACCTGGCCCTGGGCACACAAAGACCCCGAGAAGGAAAGTTGACTGACTGACCTTCCTGGCATTGATTGGCAGACCAGTGGACCTTTTCCTGGGGGCTGTGTCTGAAGCAGTACAGGCAATATTAATGCAGAGATTCCAGAAAGCCACTCTTAGTGAGACATTTAAGATAGGCTTGGGATGTTGAGTATATCTCCAGACCACATGCGTTTACAGGAACTCAAAGTGTTTTTAAAGCACACAGTTTCCTTAGCAATTGTTAGTAGTCTCTGGGTTGCTTTGTGTTTTCTATCCTTTTTTTCATTTCACTTATTACAAACACTTTTCCATGGGACATGTATTTCTCATCTGTGGTTGTCTTCCGCCCTCCAAACTCCTGGCCCTCTGACATTAGAAGAGAACATAAATTGAAGGTTTAGAGCAGTGGTTCGCAAGCTTCGCCACATTCGAATCACCTGGGAAGCTTTGAAAGGCCTTACCCCAGACCAATTAAATCAGAACCTTGGGGTGGAACCCAAAGCATCAGTATTTTTTAAAGCTTCCCAGATGACTCCCGTGTTCAGCTGAGCTTGGGAACCACTGGTGTGAAGCAAATGGATCGCAGAGTTGGTGATGTCCTGGCAGGGCTGGAAGGCCAAGCTTTGAAGAAGACAATGGGAAGCAGCAGGATTCCCCAGGAAAACCCCAGGCCCCGGTAATTGTCTTTTTAATGAGAGCTGCTGAATGCCGCCAACACTGTCCGCAGAGCTGCGCTGTGGCTCAGGGAGGGGGCCCTGCTAGACGCTGGCTTCTTGGCAATGAATTACATGCTGGGGCCTGCAGATACAGTGAGGATCAACACCAGCTCGCCACAGTAGCCACAATTGCAGGCAGCGCAGCGTCGTGGCAAAGAACAGAGCTGGACCACCTGGCTCTGGTTTCTTCCTCTTCCTCCTAACAACCGTGCCTTGGTTTCCCCATCCGTAAAATGGGGCTAATACCACAAATGCACTACCTCATGGGTTATTGCATGTAGGGAGTGCTATAAATTTCCACATCGACTCAGGCTCCCACTCGGAACAAAGTGATTAAATAATCAGGTGCTGGTACAGTTACCCATGTAAGAGGAGGTCCAGACACGGATGGGGAGGAAGGTCGTCAGAGCACACAAGCACCTGGAGTGTTGCAGAAGTGCAGAATAACTCACTAGACCTCAGTACTTCTCCCTGGGCTTCCGTGAGCTTTCCACTCCCAACACCTGCCGTTTTCTGTTTAGTCAGCTTTACTTAAGTATAATTCAATAACACGTGTCCATTTTAAGCGTACCATTTGACATGTTCTGACAAATACACCTGGGTAACCAGCACCACAATCATGATGGAACATTTCCAGCACTCCCAAGTTCTTTGCTCCTTCCCAATCAATCCCCACCCCATCCCTATCCCCAGGCAGCCTGTAGTGGTGTTTTTTAAAATCCTAATTAGTTGCCAAAATTTTAAAAACAGATTTTACATAAAAACCTCAATTTGGGGATCCTAAGGGATTGGGAAATGGACTACTCTGGGCCTGCAAAAGCTGGCTGATTACGATCACTTCACCTCCCTGCTGCATACCCAGCCCTCCGGGGCTTTTGAGTCTGCAACGCCTGGTGCATGGTCTCTTCTGCAGGCTGAGAGCTTCTAGCTTCTCAACTCTTTCCTTTATCCTCAAGGATTCATGAGTTCAGGCCCTCTAGGGCTTAAGGCAGCAAGGACTCCCCTGGCACAGCCTTGAACTCTTCAGCTCATCCAGACCCAGAACTTGGGGCTGGCACCCCCTAGAGCCGGTTCTGCCTGTCAGTTCTAACGGGAGACTGGCTTGGCCAGTGGCATTCCGGCTTCTCGCTACCAGTCTTGCTGCAAAGTGGAAGGCTTGGGAATCAGGGCTGCTGTTCACTGGGACCAGGACGAATAGCAGACACATTTGCATGTATGACCTAAGACGGTAATTAAACTCAGGCACCCGAGGGGTGAGAAGTAAGCACATTATTTCAGGAGCAATTAAAACCATCGTCACCCGTGCACAGCCACCACTTATGAGGCTGGCACTAACATGATAGTCCCCTTTGGGCTCCCTCTTTTGGCCACCAGACTGCCGCCATGACTCCACATGTTTAAGGAAAGACATGCTTGGGCCTAGGGACAGCAGCTTAGCCGGTCTAGTCCTTCTCAAGGGCCCTGATGCTATTATGGAAAAGTTACTATGCAAGACAGTGTCCTAGTCTTTTTTCCTAATTGTGGCAAAATGTAGATAACATAAACCACTTTAACCATTTTAATTGTACAATTCAGTGAGGTTAAGTACATCCAAAATGTTGTGCAACCATCACCATTATCTATTTCCAGAACTTTCTCATTATCCCAAACAGAAACTGTGTACCCACCAGGCAATAAAACTCCCCGTTCTCCTCTCCCTTGACCCCTGGTAAACTTTATTTTCTGTCTCCATAAATTTGCCTATTCTAGATGTTTTATACAAGGGGACTCATACAACATTTGTCCTATTTTTTGTCTGGCTCATTTCTCTGAGTTGTAGCACATGTCAGAACTTTATTCCTTTTTAAGGCCGAATCATTCCATTGTATGAACAGACATTTGTTTACCATTCATGTATTCACTGACGCTTGGGTTGTTTCCACCTTTTGACTTCTGTGAATAGCGCTGCTATGAACATTGGTTCACGAGTATCTCTTTGAGACCCTGCTGTCAATTCTTTGGGG